ATGACACCTTGGGGGAGAGTTCTTCATACTAAAACTCCTGCCCATGTTTGCAGTAGAATTATTCATGGATCTTCCTCCAACTACAGAGACAGTGCTGGTGGGATTTCTGAGGCCTTATGCAGAGTGATGAGACATCCCGCTGAAGAGAATATAAAAGCTTGTCTAAATTGAAGAACTACTAACAGAGAACAAAGACTCAGGCAGTGCACATTATCTACTGCAGAAATTAGCAAGTGCCACGTGGATTGAGGGAGATGAATGACCACAGATGCTAAAAAGATGAAAAAAATTAATAACTGTTTTTCCCCCTGCAAGTGTCACCATACAACCTTTAAAATATCTAGATGCTACTTTCCCAGCAAACTACCTTTTTCAACCATATCATTCAATCCCAGCTGAGCCTGGCTCAAAGAATATTGCAATGTCCTCCTCAAATCCCAAATCTACCTTCCACTCCTCCAAAGCTGGTGTAGCTTAGAGCTTCTTCAAGTTCAGATCTTAGCCTAGTTCAGCTCATACTCTCATCATTTGTAGAGCAGGAAATTCCACCTGCGCTGAAATTTCCAAAGATGTTAGCTTTTCGCATAACTCACCACTAAAAATTAGGCAACACAGATTGCTATGATGCATTATTGTGGAAAAAGATCCTTAGCTTATCTTCTTTGATACCCTCCGGAGAGTTGAAAAGTAATAGGATCAAAGCAGGAAACTCAGGTCAGATGAACTCATGTATTTCACACAATTTTTTTACACCCCCTCCCCCTCCCCCCTTTTTTTTTCCAACTTAAGTTTTTCAATTTTTCCATCCATCCATTTTCAGCAACTGATTACAGAAATACCACATTACAAGATACTATCCCAGGATCCTGCACAAAATCCCACCACAGAGAGCAAACAGTCGCTAAGACTAAATACTGAACAGACTTTGGGCTGTAGATATGCCCAAGGGACTTGATGAAGGCTTGGATCTTGGCAGAAGCCAGCTGAGAGAAACTGCTGGTCCGTTTTTAAATGATCAGTGCTACTACACAGGAGATGCTTGCTTTAGCAAGGAACCCTAGGGATGGGCCCCCAAATGAAGTCCCATCCAGATGTTCACAGTACACTACGTCGCCAAGGGTCCCATGGAAGACATTATCTATTCAGGAGCATGGGGAGAAAAAGGGAGGGAGAGAAGAGGAAATGTCTGCTGAGCACACACAGAGAAATAAAAAGAAAAGCACTGGCCGAGTTCCAGAAATGAAAATCTGGCCCCACTGAAGTAGGTGGGAGCTTTGCCACCAGATTTCAATGGAGACAGAATCTCACCCGATGTGAACAGTACTCTGGAAATATCCTCCCTCCAGACACACTGTGGGAGCTCTTCTGGCTCTGAATACTCACTGGAAACACTGAAAGGGAAATTAAACCCAAAACAAGACAACAATACCAGAATGATTAATCAACAAACAAAAAGGATGAAACACCAATTAAGCAAAAAGTATTGCAGAAGTGGGTGGAAAGAAGGCGGCATGTCCTCTACCTCCCGGACCACTGAACTTTGCCAGGAATAAGGAGGGATGCAAGGACGCGTGGTGCTGGGTACAGGGTGCCACATCAAGACTGCACTGGAGGCAGTCTGCACAGATTCAATAACAAGAGGAAGAAAAACTTCTAGCACAGATTCAGCCTTGGAGTATGCTCCCGTCGCTAATGCTATATAAAGAGGCCAGAACCTAGCAACTTCAGCACAGATTCCTAGGAGCAATCAGCGTCATCGCTTACAAATTCCCAGGCAGGCTAGTTCACAGAAAGGGCATGCTCAGCAAGCTCTGCAGTTGTGTAACTATGAGGATTCTGGAAATGAGAAATACAATGCCTGAGCACAGTAAACAGACACAATGCCTTTAAAGCCCCATCTATATGACAGCTATGACCCAGTCATTTAGCCTACAGTTACCCTCTGATTTAGCTAGCATTTGGTTTCATACCACAACTATACAGTGGTCCTGGATGTTCCCCTTTCACTGGCTTAAGAGTTCAGGCTGCCTAAGATGCTAAGTTCCACCTTTCAGAGCGCCTGAACACTCCAAATCCACATAAGGCAGGTGGAGGGACAAATTCCTATCGCCGCTGGAACTCAGCCCCTAACTCCCAACTGAAGACGACTTCTTTGCTCCAGCTCTGCTGCAAAAAGGGACCAAACAGCTCTGTTTCTGGGAACTACTGCAAATTGCACCACTTTGGATGTGGTGATGACAGCATGTAAACTTGTACACCTACCACTGACTAATATTCAAGTATTGTATTCCACTTTTTTGAGATGAGAAATCCAGATGAAGATTCATGTCTACATATCAATGATGGGTGAGTGACAACAGCTAACCAAGCATTAAACCAGAGTTCCCTGAGTGACTGTGTGTGACAGGCGCAGCATAGACAGGCACACACCAAGGTCTGGAAGTTCCCAAGGTCCTCTGAGCTTTTCTCAGGACTCCTCTTTCCTCACAAAACAACTGGAAAGGTCTTGTTTTTAGAAGTGGGTCCCCAGCCACCCCTGTGATAGTGTGAGGCTCACAACCTTCACAGAGCTCAGGCCATCTGCCAGTTTCCCCTCCCTGCCCTCTTCTCCCTCTCTCTCTCTCAAATAACCAGGAAAAAAACCCTTTTCACAGTCCTTCCCCAGACCACATGGCCAGCCTCTTCAGGTGATGGATATCTCCTGAAGGTCCATGGTTTGCTGCTTCATTACCTGTATGCCTGGACAGACCACTGGTCTTAGTGCGAGTTCCTTGTCCATGGGCTCTGCTGTCAGCCCTCAGGATTGCCCAGCGTTAGTGTCTATTGCTCAATGTTATTAAAGGTAAGGGGAAAAACAGAGGGCACCAAGACAAAATAAAGCATCTCTGCAGGCCCTGCAGTACTCTGCTGGCTCAGAGCAAGTTTTTCACCCAAGTCACTTCTTGGAAAATGAAGAACAAATGTGTTTGGACTGAAACTGATCCTTCTGCAGACTCTGGAAACAAAACTGCAGGAGAAGAGAGCGGCTGGAGAGTTACTGAGCCCTTGTGCTCCCTGGCTGCCTCAACACCATTGTTACCCCTGATGAAAAACCAGAAGAACTGCTTCTGGGTGTGCCAAGATCCTGGGATGGAAAGCGTGGACTACCCCTAGTGCTGGGCTTTGCACCAGGCTGCTGGCTCTTCTCCGCATGTGCCATGCAGCTGTGGGTGTAACGGGCACACCACGGCCCTCCTTCCCAACTTCAATAGTGGATCTTGTAAAGAACAACATGTGCCATGCAGCTGTGGGTGTAATGGGCACACCACGGCCCTCCTTCTCAACTTCAATAGTGGATCTTGTAAAGAACACTGGGACAAGGATAATTATCTGCCAGAGGAGCTACTCACTCCAGGAGGGTACAGCTGAGACCAGCGTCTAGCCCAGTCTTCAGTTACATTGTGGTACCCTGAAGTAAAATCTTTCCTTCATGGTTTAAATCAGTCCCAAATGCATTTAAAAACAGTTACTGGAAGGAACAAAATAACATCTCGTTTTGAACAGCTCTTGCCAGCACTCAAGGAGGCTTGAGAAAGTAGTATGCCACCAGCTAACAGGCTGCTGCTACAACCTTGCTCCTCAGCCCTTGCTGGATCCAGGACTTAGACCATAAAAGGACCACACCTGAAACGAGTACAAAGGGAGAACTTAAAAATCCACTTAAAAAAGTCACTTGTGGCGAAGGTCGCAAGTCCAGCATTTCCAGAAGTTATTTTCACTGCCACGACACTGGCTGCAGTATGAGGGAAAATGTGATTATCAAGTCTCTCCATGGAGTAAGGAGACTAATGTAAAATCATTTCAGCCTAGTTCCTTACCTTTCTCCTACCTTTTACACATCGTATTATTACTTGCCTTCTTTTTCACACCCAGGCCCATAGTAGTACCTAGAAATGGTTGAAAATGTATAATTTTTCCAGGACCTACGCTGACTCCATACACAAACCTGTATTTTACGACATTCTTCTACCTTCCTTCAAGTATATCTGATGATTTTCTACAATAGTCTTGTCAATACTAACACACAAACTGGTATCAAACAGATATGTATTTTCTACTGATCTGCTATTTTACCTAAAAATGAGCATTTTAGACTAGTACAATCCTCACTCAAAACAGCTGACAACATTCTTTTTAAACTGTCAGAAGTAGATTTTCAACAAAGAGCATAGTTTTTAGGAACAGAGAGACATGCAGACATTTTGAGAGTTACTGGTTCAAATGGTCCCCTTAAGAGAAAACTAAACACATTGAAAACATGCAAAATTCTCCTTTTTTTGTACAAATTGGCAGTGTTATTTCACTACGCTCAGGTTTTCAACTACAGGAACTCTGACCATCAATCCTTCTGAAATGAGAAGTTCAAGTATGAATAAATAACCAGATGAGCTTAAGTTGATGTAAGAAGATAAACGAAACCCAAAAGCAGAATTCAACTTTTTTTTTTTTTCTTGTCCGAAGGCAGTAAAAGTGATTGCTGCGTTTACTATTTATTTTATGATATGCAGGTAAGAATAACTTCCACGAGGTAACATGTAGCCCAGTGAGGAAAGGTAGGCCAAGGGACACGCACCAATCTGCTTCACAAAGAAGCCAGGTGATACATGGTGGGTTATCATGGTGAATGGGATCACTTACTATAAACAATATCTGAAGATGACCATAAGTTTATATTGCTTGGCGTTGACTGAAATAGCTTGTTCTGTCCATGCAGGGGACTCCAATTAGAGTTTGATATTCAACACACTGATGTGCACACAGGCTGGAATTGTTTGCAGTACAGCACAATGACATGATATTTAAATTTACTTACCCTGTAGATTTCTGCTAGGCTTAAAGTAAGGCCATTGCTCCAGCGAAAAAGCCCTCAAAGGTCATTTTTCCCGCACTAGAGATCAGTTTGTGATTTGGGTTTCTAAACATTTATTTCAGTGCAAATTCTGCCAGAAAGAGGAACTTACTGCTTGTTGTGAAGTTACTCTCCCCAACCTGGGGAAAGGAGTCTATGTCTTGGATGACTTGTAGTACTCCCACAGTCCGCACCGGGGGATCCAGGGCTACAGAGCTCTCGTTCACTGTTATATCGCTGGCTCCCGTTATCTGGTTGGTTGGTGGTCCTCCTATGGATGCTTCCAAGTCTGGAGGTATATCATCCATGCAATCTGCATTTGGCTAATGGGGAGAAAAAGAAGGAATTTGAGCTTTTACCTGATGAAAAGATTTAATGTACCTGTTCCCACTTCTTCAGGGTTTTTCACTTTCTTTCAGTACTGAAAATGGCAACATATGATGAATAAACATGCACAGTTTGTTTGTTTTCATGTACTTAAAACCTTTTAATACAATTTGTTGGAAGAGAGACCCAAAGTATGCATTGCAAATATTCAGTATTAAACTGTGTCACCTACAATCTCTAAATATTCTTGTTTATACTTTTTAAAGGTTTTGGGAAAGTATACATTGAAAAAGTAACTTACTTATTGATATGATCTGCTCAATACAGGCAGACTGCTGAGTCAGATTACAAACATAAACAGAGACGGTAGCTGAAAGGGAACGATTATCTTTTCCCTAAATATTCATTTTATAGAGCTGCTATCAGAGCTTTCAGGAATAGGAATTTGAGCGAAGTGCCTGTGGGCGCATCTATGTGTGGGGTGCAAAAATAGAAAACTAAAGCTGTTTATAAGACAAGTCTTTTAACATCAAAAGATCTTTTCCTTTACTAATGCTATATTTCGTACAAAATAAAATTATGAGAAAAGAAACAAACAAGCAATAATGGGAATTTGAAGAGTATTATTCGATCCATAGCCTTCCTTGCTTTGTGATTCAGAGAGACCAAGGATGAAACCCAGTTCTGGGGAATTTAGACACTTCTCTCTTGCAGTTACATAGTGAATGCACCAACACCTCCAGAATGAGCCAAGCTCTTCAAGTCAGGTGTCTGCCTTTCCATTGACCTTGTAGGGAAGCAATGAAAGGGGGTTGTGGTGCCCACTTCTTGCACAGTATCTTTAGCATTGAGTGCCTGTTCACAAAGGGCACTGAGACTTCAAGTGGGCACTGGGTGACAAAGAGGATTGTTTGTCCAGAGACACTATGTCCAAACTAGGCACTTAAAACAGTCAGACTAGTTTCTAGCCTTGATTTCTCTGGGCCTGTTATAAGCCTGATGCTCCCATTCATACAGCAGTGATTTCTATGAAGCTCCCCATAAACATTGGTGACAAACATATGAGTAAAAAAGCTCTTTTTCCTCTAAGAGGAAACAGATTCTGGTGCTATTTGCCCATAGAACCAGATCTAGTTCTCCCCAAGGCAGGAAGAACAATTGTTTGCATAACTATTTCAAGAACTGGGTTTTGAAGTTTTAACATATTGTAACAAAAGCAAGGCTAATTCAGAAATGAGGATTCTGTGTGTCAGAGTGCAAAGCTTCCAAAATGACAGAGGGACATAGCAAAGTTGAGCTGCAATTACATAGATACCTGGTTAAGTTAGGAAACGTACAGTTCAGTTGTTCAGTTGTTACCATTTATCTTTATCATCCAGGAGTCAGACAGCTAATCGGGATCAGTCACTTAGGTTTCCTCTAATTTCAATGGTTTGAGACGATTTTTCTGTGTGATTCATCCCACCCTAAGGTAAGTGGTATGAATTGCCCCCTCTGCCTTCGCACTGCTCAGCATTAAGGAGAGATGGGGCTTAAGCTGCTAGACTGGAAATCCAACATCTGGATGGCTAAAGTCAGAGGAGATGTACTCTGCTCTGTGGATCTGATTTTTGCTATGTTTAGTTGTCTCACTTGCTAAGGCATTTTTGAAAATCTCACTACCTCCCTATCTCCAACAGCAGGCACCTAGAAACTAAGCAAAATATGATACAGCAAAGAATTAAACAGAGGCTTAGCTTTAAGCGCAAGAGTAATCCCTTTGAACTCAGGCATAGAAGGTTACCATATGTTTACATTTTTTGCAGAACCAGGAACTTAGCATGTTTTCTCTTTTCCCATATGTTCCCTGTCTGATTGTTGCCACCTCATAAATATTTTTTCACAAATGTTCCTAATGAAAACGGTAGGCATTTTAAACAATCCTCAGGTGACTTGTATCCACAAACTGAAGTTTGGGATAAAAATCAGAATTGTCATTGTCTGGCTCCAGTCTAATCCACAAGCAACGAGGGCTCCTCAGAACTGGGATAAAGGCACATTCAGCTACACCAGATTTTAATGAAACCCATTGAAACTGGACTTTTCTAAGTGAAATACCAATCATTTATCTTATCATATTAGGACTTGGATACAAAATTATTCCTTAGATCTATCACTCTTTCAAAATCCCTCACCCTTAGCTGTTACAACAAATGCTTTCAGAATTTAATTTTTAACTTAAATTTGGCTTTGATGCCAGTGTATCTTGAAGAAAAAAAAGGCCAATTTTTTCTTTTCTACTCTAGGAAAAACTATTTCAAATTTTTTTTTCAGGGGATCAGTTGTCTGTCCTTTGCTCTAATTCTAGTTATTCCTAGAATGGGGTTTTATCACTAACTTTTAAACCTTTAAAAACTGGGGGTTATAATTGAAAGCCAAACCAAACATTAAAGATGCAAAAATAGCATTGCTCGATATAATTAATCCCTTTACTCCTGAATCATTTTAGTTGGAAAAAATACCCCAAACTAAGCAGCATACTATAAAACTAATGATATGAAATACTGATCGAAAAAAATACATTATGGCTTTTGCTGTCAGAGTGACCCAGATACATTTTCTAAGTTTAATTATATTGGTTTCACTCATTCCCCGCATGTAAGTGCTTTGAGGGCACAATTCCACTAAAGTCAAGGGAAGGCTTTGTATTGACTTCTGAGGGCTTGGCTAAGGCTCTTAGTGAATAGCTTCAAGTCATCCAGTCTACTGCCAAAAATGCAGCTGTCTGCATATCCAGCAGATATCTGCAGAAAAGGGGGAGAAGCAGAGGGAAACTATTTTATGTGACATGATCATCCCAGTAACAATGTAGCTCTCTGAAAGTGAAAGGCACTTTCACTGATAATTCACTTCAAATATTACAGCCAAAAGAGGTATAGTATGAGCTGGATTCACCAGCAAAGAGACAGTGGAAAAGGTTACGCCAACCGTTTGCTGATAGTTAGTTAGTTAATAATCCTCTGGAGCTGTAGAGAGCCATGGTGAAAAGCGGAGATGCTAGGATGCTCAGCTACCGTGAAAATGAGTGCAGTCATTTTGGTGCCTCACGGCAGCCTGGGGAATCTGGTTTTAGGGCACGTAGTATTTGAAGTGTCTGTTACAAAGTAAATGGAGAGTTTAGATGTGAACTGAATTGAAGCATTTAGATATTTGGGTTTTAACCAATCATTTCCTGGAAAATCCTGAGTCTTCCTGCTAAATGAAGCACAATATACCCACAGTCACACAAGCCAGCTCTTTAATAACAACCATAGGACAAACATGCAGCTGGCAGGAAAAAAGACATTTTAGCCCTGCCTATGGTAAAATTTCCTCATTCCTCCCATTGTAAAAGCCTGCAAAAGGACTTCGGTAAATTTGGCTCAAGGGTCCTATCAGAGACTGCTGCCTGCCTAAGGCTGCTTTTCTGTGTGTGGAAATTTCAGCTAAGATGGCTCAGCAAGACTCAAGAATGTGGTTAGGGAATGGCATTTTGCTTTATCCACTCTACAGAAATGTTTGCCACCTCTCACTGAGAAGCCCTAGAGCTTTACAGCTTCTGCCAGGGAAATGTCCTTTCCCACAACAGCCTACTGACATCTGGCTAAGTTATGAGCCTCTGAAAATATCAGTTCACGTGTACTGATAGAGACTGGTGGCTTATTTGGGACCGACAACTACACCCTCCAAAGAGAAGAGGGCTTTGCATGGTGCCTGCAAGCTTAGGGTGGCACCAGAAAGCACCCCACAGGACTGATGCCCACCCCGGGCTGCCCTCGAGAAGGGTGGCAGGCAGCGAGAAGGGTGAGGATGCACAATTTCTGTGTGGGTGGAGAACAGGTCCTGCAAGCCGAGCTGGGAGCACCAGCAGTGATACCAGGGCAGGAGCTCAAAAGGAAGGGCAGGAGGGGTTATGCAGAGGAGAAGCAGGAAAGGGCACGAGGTAGGAGAGGGAGAAGCAGGAGTTGAGGCATATTTTAGAAAGAGAATGTAGAGAAAACAGAGGAAGAGGAACAACTGATAGCAGTGTAGGAATTTTTAACCCCCAAGCTACCAGACGCTCTCAGACTCCCACTTCCTTTGCTGTCAGCCAGATGAAACCCCTGACACGAAGGCTACCATCTGCTCCCTGTTCCCACGGACAACAGCTCCTACAGTAAGTCACCTCGAGGGGTAAGACTCTAGCATGCAGCTCTCCCTTCATGAACCTAACCGATGATCCACGCAGGTGGGAGCCAGTATGTTCCTCCAAATGACGGAGCGGTCTGTTTTCAGTTTGCTGTCTTAGAACAACCTAGGGAAATTTTTACAGAAATTCATACAATAAAATCCTCTAAACAAACTTTCCTAGTGGAACATTAACATCCAAGCTCTTGATTTTTAGTGTTAAGACAGACCAGCACTAAGGCTGATTCTGAAATCTGAATTTGACCCAGTTGTTTATGTTGGTTACAGCAGTATCTTTAATTACATGCCCAGTACAATTATTTCTACAGAAGCTCCATGTGGAAAGCTCTCAGTGAGGGGAGCAGGATGGATCCCCCTTCTGCTACATGGAACAGAGAGAACGAGACAGGGAGCTGTGGGAAGAGAAATGATGGCTGAGGAAATGGAATGGCACTTTTAATTATTCCTGGTAATTAGGTTCTATACCTGCCACTACAGAGCTGTTCATATGTAGTAAAAGCCAGTCATGTAAACCAAAACTTTTACACATGGCCTCTGGGCATGTTTTCCCTTCCTCTCAATGTACCCAGCCTCAGACAGCCTGCGGACAGGCTTAGCCTTCAGCAGCTCTCAGTGAAATCGGTGAGAACCGTATTGGGGATGTAAATACTAACAGTACTAAACCTTCTGGAAAGACCTTAACATCTCACCGCAGGCCTCCAAAAAGCGGAGGTCTGATTTGTCTATATCCCCTGATTATGAAGCTGGATGAAGAGCATGTTAATGAAATGCTTGGGCAAAAATGTGAATGGACCAGTGTGAGAGCAGAAATCGTGTGGTCCTGCATGATGCAGAAGAAAGCCATGGAACAATATACTGGGTACGGAGAGAGGTGTCAAAATCCTGGGTAGCTGCACACTGGCAGGCCTGTGAACTGAGACATGGAACCTGGGGAAAAATTTTTGTATTTAAGCCTAGGCGCAGAGATGCTGAATGGCAGAGCCAGCCTTCATTCCGGCCTTTCCTCACATCTCAAATACTGATTTAACAGTTGTATCATCTTTTAATATTCTAAAGACAATATACAAGCTTAGCAGAAAAAGTAGCCCAACTGTAATGGCGTTACCCTAACTACAATGCTCTACTTCATTTTCCCCAGTGCAAGTTTTTAGCTTGGATTATATTAGGTTGATTAACATATCTGCCTACTTCAGTAAAACATACTTCATCACTTGCTGTGGAACCTCTTCTGCAGCAACCTGCTTGGCTTCCTAGTCTCCATGAAAATGAACTCTCGGGGAATGGCTGCATCAGCTCCCCTAACATGTTCACATGAGCTATCTTACTTTATATAGCTCTTCCATACGTGAGCTGGCATGTCACTATCTGTAACTGGGGAGGGTATTTACAGCACCTGTTAACGCATCAGCCGGTGGTGTTTCAGTATTGAACTTCACTATCACGTGGCAAGCCTCGCACGGTGTGAGAAAGTGACTCACTTCTTCCTGGTGAAGCCCCTGATCTCTGTGATAGCTGCAGTTAGGAAACTGTATGGCAGACAGGACATGCACTATCTGAATGTAAACATGCAACCTAAAAAGATCAATTGCTTTGGCAGCTTCTAACCACATCTGAATGTTCCAAATAACAAAGAGCTTAACAATTTCTTGGATGTCATGCAGTCTGCCACATGCTTAGTTACTGGGAGAAATGCTCCCTAATTGGAATTAGGAGTACAGAGCTTGCTACAGATAGACTTTAAGAGAAATCTGACAGAAAAAAGATTTGGCTCCCCAGAACGAGCAATTAGTTGTCCTCAACTAGTATAGCAGGGAAAATTTTATTTGTAGACCTTCTGCTTTGAGATTTAAACTGAGAGCATGATTAAAAAAATAAGTCCAGTCCTGATTTAAAACACAAAGAAAAGCTATGTGAAAGAATCTATAAATCCACCAAACCACCAGTAAACAATCCTCTGCTCCAGAAAGCAGGCAACCACAGACACACAAATCCCAACACCCAGCCAACCCCCACAGACACACTCTCCCTTGCTAATAAAAGTGGGGTGCAGGAGAGAGGTAGAGTCAGACATTTCAGCTTGTACTCCCCTTAATAAATCAATTAATAAATCAATAACATAGCAAGAAGAGTAGGATGGGAACAGACAGGCAAAGGGCTAGGGATATACCCAAGTAGCCGGTGTTTCCCTTCTGCCCCGACCAGCTGCTCTGCGACGTGCTTACCGGGATCCCTAGAGCTTTTAGAATATTCATTTTACACATCGGGCAGGTACGATGGTCTAGCAGCCACGGGTCTACACAGGACTTGTGGAAAAGATGCCTGCAATGAAAACCAGGATATTTTAATTCAAATCCACCACAGCACAATTTACCACTTAGTACCAGACTTATCTTCCGAATTCAGTAAAGTGAGAGTATTTCAAATGGTGTGGTTTGTGACCTCTGCAAGGACTATACTTGGCAAAACTATATCCTATGCACACAAGACTAAAATTATGGCTGCAGCATCTCAAGCACATGTGCACAATGTTGCTCAACTGAGTTTGGAAAAGCAGACATGTACATAATTAGAGAATTAGGAAAATTACAGAAAATGCATGAGCAAAACCCATATTCTTAAAATGTTAAAGGCTGTCAGTAAACAAAACCTGCTTGCTGGTAAAGGTAAAAATCACATTAATATTTCTTGATGGTTCTACAGACAAACCTGATTACACATAATTTAAATGTGAAGCCATCAGGGGTCTGGTATTTTTTAGGATACAGGCATAAGGAAATAAAGTGAATTTAAAAAAAAAAAGCTACTTTTCATTTACACAGAAAAAACAGGATGATGCTGTTTAAAACATTCTCCCTGGCTTTCCTGCTCTTCAGAAGTTGTCCATCAGAGTGAGCTCCTAAACAATTCCAGCCCTGAAGGGGTTGTTGCTAATCCTGTGCTCAGTCTGAAGTGACCACTAAGCAACTACCCGAGCCCTGTGGCTGCTGGGGGCGACTTTTCTTAGACATTATCCAGGTGGAGGAACTGCAAGCTTCTTGTCTAGCTTTGCCTGACACAAACTGAGATTGAATATAGAGATATTTAGTGCGTGTACCTGACTGACAGATTGTATTTTCTCTTGCGAGTATATTCTGTTACCCTGTGGTTATAGAGAACAAATGTTATAAAACGCAGGAAGGTGAGGCTCGGGGTTTAAGAAACACTGCTGAGTAGGCCAAGTAGAAAAGTTGGGACTCGGCCCAAGGCAGTGAAGTTTGTTCAGCCACCCTCCTTCTGAAGAAAAGGAGGAAAGTTTCCTACCATGCACATAGCTTCAGAAATTACACTGCCATGTAGGAAACTGAAAATTGACTTGCCTTCCTGAAAATCTTTTTTAATCCATTAATTGAATAGAATAGAACAGTTCAGTTGGAAGGGGCCCTAGTCCAACTACCTAATATAACTTAAGAATAACTTAAGCAAAATTGAAAGAGGGTATTTTATTCTGAAATATGAGGCTCGATATACATACACAGTCTTGCTCCAAAAGGTGCAAACTAAGACTAATTTGCTTGTTTTAAAACACCACATAGACCAGCTCCAAATTTCCTTCCTAAGGCTTGCAACCGGTGTCCCACATTTTACTTGGCAGAGCCTGAAAGTCATGTTTAAGTCTGCTTGAACTTTCACATTTGAGCAGTCCCCAGCCTGTGTTTCCCTGTGCCGTCACTGCCCCATGTGCATCGCTCGTACAGCACAGCCATACAAACCCAGCAGGTAACCGCAGGTGGACACAGCTCACAGCTGCCCAAGGCTCCGGAGCGGGGCACATACCAGCCTCCACGAGGAAATGCAATCTCTGAGAAAGCCAGAATCACTTAACGCACCAAAATAATTTTAAATATTTAAGTGGTACGTATTCAGCTGAATGGGTCTGCTGCTGTATTGTGTCGTGGCCTCTCTCACACAACAAGATACACACGTCTTTTCAACGTCATGGAAGATATTAAGGTGCACTTTGACCAATATCGATTTGCAACCCTGGCTCTTACTAACATGATATCGGCCCACATACTAGCTGGCTGGTTTACTAGCTGGCTGGCTTACCAGCTGGCTTCAGTTCTAAATAACACTAGAAATTCAAAGCCAAAACTGCCTGAAATCTCAGAATCTCATCCTTTTCACTGCGATGTTTTTTCTCGCTACTTCTAGAAGAAACGGGTCCTTTGTGAAACAAAGCTACATGGCAAATTATCACATTCCTGTGCTTGGTCTGACTTCACACAACTATGGGAAAGGGCAAATCTGTTCTTGGAAGTTCGACCCAGTCTAATTATATCAGTTGGCTGCAATACCAAACTTTGTCAAACCTCATCTGATCCTGTATGTCAACATGATTCACACAAATGAAGTATCGTGATACTTGAAGTTTAAACCACTACTTCACTAAGCCTACTAAAGTTTACAACCCTCCTTCCAAACAACACTTCCTTTACTGGGTAAAAACACAATGCACCAAATTTCAGTCTTTGTCCTACATAACTCTCCCTTCCTTTTATCTGAGGAGGGACATATTCAGCACATCATCAGGTAAGCATTCTGAATAGGTGAAAGCATAAAGATACAGTCCTCAGGCATGTGTAATTTTACATTTAGAAGTCTAACCAACAGAATTCCTTGGGTGTGTTAATTCACGGAGGGTACTGAAAAATCAATGTCTTGCTTTTCGGCTATTTGAAATAACTATGAAATTCTTGATAGTGATTTGTTTTCTTTAATTATACACTCAAATTCATAAACAAGTGTGTTTAACTGCAAACATCTGAAGCATATTTGTGCCAAAATAATCAGTACATTTACAAAAGCTGAGATATTTATTATTCTCTTAAAAAAACCAGATTTCCAAAATCTGTTTCGGATAAAAAAATATGTAACTTCTATCAAGTCATTTTACCATAGACTAGAAAGTCTCCTTTTGTTTTCAAGTTCAAGATTTGCAAGCCTCAGTCAAGCTGTGGTTCACACTACAGCATTTCATAATGTTTGTTAATCACCAAAAGCTTGGAACTTTCATGCCTTAAAAGACTTCAGAAACTGAATTTTAGTGTTCCTAAAGTTGGCTTCACAAAACAATATTCTAAAAGAAATCCTACCAATGCCGAGTAACTTAAATACCTGACAGATCATGTCACTTTGCACTTCTCAATACTAAATTTGCACAGTGTATTATGGCTCTATTAATTTCAGATTTAATAGGTACAACAGAAGGAACTTGATTATTTGACAGAAATCTACAGAAAAATGGAATGTTATTGAAAATCAGAATGTTACTGAAAATCAGATAAAGATTTGAATTTTTAAATTTTTGTATATAATTATATACATTATAAACATATATAAACATTATATAATTACAGCTCTCATAGTATCTATTTTTGAACACGTAAACATTTGTGCAGAGAAGTGAGGTGGCAGGCTTTGCAGACTTGGATTTGAAAGTTTATTTTATGCATTATTAGCTACAGCACTATATACATGCTTATGGCTTTCAACAAATTGTGAATTGTTTGATGTCCTGATAAGTTTATCATCCAAATTCAGGCAAAATAAGGGTCAGCACAAAGGAAGATGAGAGAGCAACTGCAATATTTCACTGTCACACGGTAAGACAAAGATGTAAAAAGATCAACTGCAACAAAAATCCCTCTCCCTCTGTAGTTCTGACTGATGCAAGTTTTAAAAGGAAGGAGTGGGTAGAGGCATCATGGATGAGTTCAGAAGTAATGACCCACACAGGGAGACAGTAAGAGAGATGTTTCAAGCACGGGCTCGGGACGTGGCTTTGATAATCAAAGTCAGAGCTAGAAAAAAATGTGTTTTTTTTCTGTTGTGTGCAACCACATGCGTTGCAAAACTATGTTGATTTGGATGGGTTGAAAAGTTTCTCAAAAGAACTGTAATTGATTAGTTGAGAGAGAGGAAGGTGAGAGGAGAAGAGATGTCGTTACAATCCTCATACAAAACAAAGGCTTCCATAAGGAGAAAGGAAACAACTGTTCTTCACCTCTCCTAGGGATAAGAGACACAATGATGTGTTTAAACTGCAGCAAGTGAGATCCAGGTTACACAATAGGAAAAGCTTCACCACAGTCAGGGTAGTGAAGCACTGCAATAAATTATCAGGGGAATTTGCAGAGCCTTCATCCCGGGAGACTGCAGAGTGTGTTGGAAAAAACTCCCAAGAATGACACGTGCACGGCCAGTGCCCCTGTGCCGTTCCAGAGGTGGTGGCCTCCTGGGACCCCTCCTGCACTCTTCTGCGACTCTGCGACTGCACGCGGCTGTGTAAAGCTCACAGAGCACAAAGAAAGAAAAAGAACCTCAAAATCCCAGAGCATTTCATTTACTATTATCTAAATGGCACTTCATATTTTTTAACTGGAGGTTACTTTTGTCTGAAATGTATTTAAATTTTCTTTAAAGCTGCAATTTTAATCATAAAAGAAAAAAATTTCATTTCAGGCTCAGCCCAAAATTATAATAATAATTTGATTGTTGTAAAACTATTGCAAAGCTTTCAGCTTCCCGACAATTTTGTGAAGCTTTTTTTCCAGGTTAAGGGAAACTGTTCTCCTTCCACCTTCTACTTGTACTCCAAACTGCACACAAACAAACCTACCAGTCATAATTTTTCTCAGAAGAAAAGCGTAAGCAGAGAAAAGGAGGCAAAAGCCGAAAGAGAGGTACATCCCTAGGCACCCTGAGTAAGATCATCAGTTGCCTGGATTAGACACAGGGCTGAAGCAGAGGATTGAGAAGGGTTTTGGTGAGAGACAGAGCAGCACTGTAGTATCCAACGAGAAGGTTTGGGCTTTTGGGGGTGCATGTACGGTATTATTTGCTTATTTTTGAGGAAGAAGGAAGGACAAAAGATGATGATGATGAAGGTAAATGAGAGGAAGGAATCAAAGGGAAGAATGTATGTGATGAAAATTTTCACAGGAAGCTACTAAAAAGAGAAAGGAGGAGTGAAGCAGTCTCTGAAATCACAGTTGTTCATGGAGTGAAGGTTCAGGGGAAGGGAACGAGCTGGAACAGGGTCAGAAAGCACGTTTATTGGTGACAGAAATGAAACAACCAAAAAAAGAGCTTATGAAGAACTCAGTAGAGATGAGGTTGAAAGAATTGTCTTGCCTCTGTAGAAGTTTAGTAAAGTTAGTAAAAGTTTAGTAAAAGGCACATACTGGGAGCAGCAGCACCAGTAACTTCTCCAAAGCCAGAGCAGAAAAGACAAAGGCGTTTTGAAGCTAGAGATGGAGGACAAGCAGAAGGAACTAGGGCTATGACAAGAGATGTCACTCTGGGAACAATGAACTTGGTTACATTTGATGTTGTGTCAATGCCCTCAAAGATAACTTCAGCGATGCTTGCTACCATTAAACATAAAACCAGCTGCAAGCCAACACTTTTTGTAACCAAGTGTCAGTCCTTATTTATTTAATACGTTCTATAGAGTGAAGTTTATTAATACAGTCAGTTGTGGGAGCTGGCTAAAGAGGACAAGTTAACTGGAATTCTCCTCCTAGCTCCCCAGAGCGGGATATGTAACAACAGGCTATCCCAGTGCCTGCTCTCTGCCAACAGAAAAGAGAGGACATTTGGGGAAACACCGTAAGTCCTAGTAAACATGTATCTATATGACTTCAGAGCTCATCCATTGCAATATTGGCTGGTGGATTTTTGCTGCCAATTTCTTAGGAGATTCAGGCTCCACCAGCCTTAAAAAGAAATCTCAAGATATACAGGGCTTTATACAGAGTGTGCCTGCTAGCAGTGGTTTTCCCAGTACTGCCTGCAGTACCAAGCAGCATCTTTTGTGTGCAGCTCTTGGGGTGTATTTGGCTTTGTAGGTAAAAAGTTCTACCTCCTGGATAGAAACACTAAGGTCAGCCAGCACTGGTGTCATATGGTGCTGGCTTCTGTAAGGGTTGGTGAAATGCCAGCCTCTTATTCAACAGCAGTATAACGAGGTTCCCATGCTAGAAACTGCACACAGTTTAACTGAAGATGCTGGAGGAAGAAACCTACAGGGTCTGTAGGTCTTTATCAAGATATAACACTCTCCTACTCACTTAACAGAGACAGAAATTAATTCACTTTTTTTTTTTTTTTTTTTTTTGGATGAGGAGACGAGACTGGCAAAAGCAGAAAAAATCATGACTACCATTTCCTGTTTTGGAAGTCCAAACCCATGTGAATGTGTAAAATACTGCCCTCACAATTTGTGTAGCAGGAAAGCCAGGGTTTGTGAAGCAGCTGCTTGAGAAAGATCTTTGAGTTTTTATAATTCAAAACTGCTGAGGCTCAAACTGTGAGTATTTTACAAGACAGTTCTGCTGCTGCTAACCTTTTAGCGTGAGTCATTTTCTAGGCGACCTTTTAAGTCAGCCAAGAACTGAACATCACCTGTTAACTATGTGTTTCCTATTCACCCTGCTTGACTCAACACTGTGGATGACAAAGTCTGACTGGAGCCTCACTGAATTATGAGGCGAGACACAAGTGAAAGCTAGAGCTTAGACACGTTTGTTGCTGTTGTATAACTACCTCCAAAAACTGCCTGTCTCTATCATGCAAAATTTCCATGCTTTATTATGCTTCTGTAAAAACAGGCTTGATGTCAAACCAAGGTCCTCATTTTCTGCTAATCTATCATTCTTCTGTATTTCTGCTTCATGATGTGATGCGTTTGCGTCTGTTCATAGAAAAAAAAAGAGTTCACATGCAATTTGTCATTGTGGGGGATTTACAGTAGGTCAAATTTATGATTAATCTGTTGCTTTTTGTTTGCCATTTAGTGATGGCAGTAAACAGATTTAATGAGTCACATGAACGAACAAAAATGGACAGATTGTAACATTCAAATATCTACTAGGGAACAACATAGCAGCATAAGAAACAAATATTTCAGTTTCTCAAGCCAGTGAACATGTCTGCAGGAGAAGAAAGAAACTCTATATAAAAAAAAAAAAACTCTGCTCTCTATGTGCAACACTTGGATTCCTATTTCTAGGGAAATCAAACACTTGCTCTTGCTCTTGCTCTCCTAGGGGAACCACTGTTCCTAGGAAATTTCCTAATTGATTTCCTTAGAGAAATCCTTCATTAGCTAACACTTCACAGATGACAATATAATGGCACAGAGAGATGAATACAGCTGTTACGGGTGGCAAGAGGCTGCGCTCCTGTGTCACATCGCTGCAAGCGTATGTGCTGCACAGGGCACGTTCACATGGGGAGAAGAAAAGAGAAAGAACAAGCCCAAAAGCTCTTCTTGTCACCTACATGTCCCACATGCCTGAGAATATTTTCATGGCAGCAATAGATAATGTGGTCTTTGTCACATTCCCTTTTTGCTTTACTGTTTCTACTCAGCATATCTCCTTTTATGGCTGGGGTTTTTTTTGATAGAAGTCATCCCTTTCTCAGCGCCTAGACAGCAAAAGAAGTGGCTCCATGGGGAGCAGGAGCCTGCTCTATCCCTGGCTGCTGTGCCCAGGGCACGCCTTGAAGCCAGGGGCAAATTCTTCTAACGGAGTTATTCTAGACTGATATAAAACCAGTGAGCAAAATAAAGGAATCAAAACGTTTAGTTTAAAAATCCTACTGAAGACTTTGTAATAGGTCCAGATCAGACAAAATATCTGACTATCATGCTAAACTCAGGTTCTCACCACCGTTAATACTACTTTTACTTCAAGTCGAATAGAGAGGCATTTCAGATATCTTTAAAGAACAGATTTTGAATAAATAAAAATGATAAACTCACCCTTTCCTCCCCAAGCTCTCAGGTAATCTCATCAGTGTGATACTGTGAGAACAGAGCCTGTCTTGAAGTAGAGAGACTATCAGAGCTAAAAGAACCTTCAACCTTTAACTTACCTGCAAGGCAAAATTCTGACAACATCATTGGGCTTGTAGCCTTCAATACAAACAGCACAGTTATCAAAGTCTGGCTCAGTTTCCTATAGGAAAGAGAACATTCATCATTTTCATTTTTTGATTTTGTCAGCTAATCTCTTCATACAAGAGCCTATGTGACAAAATAAAACAGTCACTGATGCATGCTGCAAATCCAATAATGCATTTCAAGACAAGCAAGTCAGATTTTCCAACATGTTTCCAGTTAAAAACTTGCCCTGGGAAGCATGCAGATTTAGTTAGCATGTTTTAACTTTCAGGATTTTCTGCATTTTCACAGACTCACCTTCTTCTCTCTCTACTCCATTCCATCTGTAAATTGCTTACCAGTATTCCTCCCAGCCTGAAGGACACATAGTAGCTAAATAAGCAATTGCCATTTCTGTTCTGCCTCATTGTCCCAGTGGTCTGAAGGAATCCTCAGTACAGAGTTTCATTTGGTAATGAGCAATTTGAAAAATTACCTTATCACCTTTCCTGATTGTTCTGACTTGCAGCTTGCTGATTGCTTTCTTTGCAGCATCTCCAAGCCGGCGCTGTAATACAAAATTTGCTCTTAAGCAAAGAGTATCTCTTCATGCAGAAATCACCACCTTTTCTCCCTAGGCCTCTTAATAATCTGAAGTGACTGTACATGAAACAGGACAGTGCTGTATAAATATAAACAGATGAGGTCAGTCATGCTGTTATTCACAATAAGGGCACAGTAGGTATTCTAGGCTCGCTGGTACCCCACAGCTGATGAGGCAAAACTACTCTAATGGAGTTCCAGTGAAGACTGCATGTGGGCCCATCATGATGCTACACTACAGCACCTTTACTATTCCAGTGAGTAGCAATGTATGTAACAAGTCCACTATTTGGGTATCCTACTTCTTCCCTCTCTTTTTTTAATGACACTTGTAAAAAATACTTTATTAAATGAGGCCTGGGCTGGTAAGCAGAGTGAACACTGGGCTTAAGATTCAGAAGGTCTTTATTCTTATGTTGTTCCAGAACTAGTTCACAATCTTCAGCAAGATGTAAGTGCTGAAAGTGAGCTGTTAATTTGTTAACCACGAAAAACATGAATAACCTTCTCTTTTCCTGTAATGCAGAGTTGCCTACTTTATAGGAGCAATGCAAGGTATAAAAATGAAGCAAAAGCATCTGCGGTTTCTTACAGGTAAAGCACTATATGGTCCTGCAGTAACATCCTATCTATACACAACCATTTGCTTGTTCTTTGCCTTTCTATCTTTCCCTCCAGTGGACCATGAATTGCTTACCACGTGATATTTCTGACTGTTCTCCCATATTTCCAAAACACTGTTACTGTGCTGGCAGGGTCACAGCCACTCAGAATTGAAGTATGTAATAACAGCCTGACGCAAAACACCCTGTTCTCAAACGCTGAAGATGGAGATGCCTGCCTCTTGCAAGAGGCTGAGAATATTACGGGGCAGTTCATACAATCACTGCTCAGCAGAGCTACCTCTGCACCCTGTGCTATTGAGCTTGTGCCTGTATGAGTGCTCCAAGGACTTGGCTGCTCATTTGTGCTAACCCAACAACGAGGCGATCTGGAGACAGACTCACAGGCTGGAAAGGCCTCTGAGAGGTCATGTACTCCCACCCCCTGCTCAAGGCTGGGTCAACTTCAAAGTCAGAGCTGCGTCCAGTCAAGTTTTGAATATCTCCAGGAAGGGAGATTTCACAACCTCTGTGGATAATTTGTTCCAGTGCTTAACCACTCTCACAGTCTTTTTTTTTTTTTTTTTAAACATACAAATGGAATTTCCCTTGTTGTAATTTGTGACCTTACCCTTGTCCTTTCTCTGTGCACCTCTGAGAAGAGTCTGACTCTGCCTCCTCTCCAACCACCCGTTATGCAGCTGAAGGCTGCAAGCAGAACCCTTCCTCCTCCTCTGCTCCCCTCCCGGCTCAGCAAGCTGAGCTCCCTCCGCCTCTCCTCAGATGTCGTGTGCTCCTGTCCCCAGACCATACTGGTGACTCTCCTCTGGGCTCTCTCCAGTTTTTTCATGCCTTTCTCGTACAGTTTCGTGCAGCAACACCTACTCTGATGTCTTCTTTTTATATTATAACGTATGTTAAACATAACATTATGTTATGTTTGTAACAGTTCATGATACAGTGCATCCCAATTTGCCACCAATAAATGACTTAAACTCTTCTCTTCACCTCCCCTCCCCATCCATGTTTCCAGCCATGTGTTGTTAGATAGGAGGGAGACTCAGGAGCTTTGGTGACTCAGAAAACATTCAACTTTTTGGGCTGGGAACACCGCCTGTGCTGGAGTTCAGAGGGGCCTGTCAGCGGGAAGGATTTCCAGTTGGAGGGGGTGAGAGCATGAAGCCAAAAATGGAAGGAAGCTGGATGTAGTTTGTAAATTGAGACCTGATCACCATACAGATACAATTAATAAATTACCACTTTGTTCTTCAGATTCAATTAAAATCACTGAATTAGATTTAGAGAATAAGCTTATTGGATTAGAAAGACATGGAAGACTGACAAAATGCATGCAACACAAAGCAGAAAGCAATTTCAAATCTGGCTAAAGAGGTGAAAATGATCTTGGCTATCATATGAGATTTACATATGAGCTTTCCAGCATAACTAATTATTACACGTGAGGGAGTATCTTGTAGTTATACAACATCTTTTCCGTGATTCATTTTTCTCACAGTCTCCCTTAAATAAAGGGATCAGACAAGAGTTGGAAACATTTCTTGCCAGCTATTTGTTTCTTTAATGTAAATCAAAGACAGACTGATAACATACAGCAAGACAAGAGCCATTATGTCCTGCTTCAGGAATTGCTTGTGATTCCTTTTTATCATTATTATTACTTAAACTAACGAAATGTCTCAGTTCTTTTTTGCACATTCTTCAAGGGGAAAGGACAAGATTAAAGACTCATGTACATCTTTGATCTGCTTGTTTTCATGTTTGCTTTCTCTTATCTGTCTTAAATAGACAAGTTCATGACTTACATGCAAATGAGAATAATTTAGTTTTTGAAAGAACAGGAATATCTTGGAGTAAAGTCGTACTTTCAAAGGATTCTTCCATTTGAACGAAAGGCATGCTATCACTAACCAATGATTTCCCCTAAAAGATAAGAGGCATTACAATAGTTTAAGGGTTTAAAGTGAGGCTTAGAGATTTACAATCATAAATCTCATAATCTCATTAGCAAGGCTGCAACGTTCAGTACCGGACTGGAAGGAGTTAAGCATATCAGATGCAGTGGTCTTGTGGAGATGGTGATACTAGTTCAAAAGAAAGGACAGTAGGATGGAAAGCATCACTTGTCTGTTCCTGAGGAAGTAAATGACCGTAGATGCTGCGGAAGAGAATTTATGGTAAGTGCTTCTCTCTTGATGGCCTTATTAAACTATCACCTTTGCAGGGAGGAGATCGCCTTGGGCCTTGTGCAGAATGAAGCGCACCATCAGGATGAGGTATCAGACACACCTCCTGTACCACAGATAAAGTTTGCGGACTCCATCATGGGAAGCATCTTCCCAAGACTGCTTCAAAGATCGATGTCTCTATTCAATGGCCCAAAACTCTAATTCAAAGCCACGGCCAGCAGACTTCCTTCTCAGATAATCGCTTGACCCTCCACATGCTGCCAGTCACATACTAAAGTAGATCCTTCACTGGAGATTAACCCAGGACGCACAGGACCCTCGTCAGCCCCAGTGTGATCACTGCCTGCTTTGGCTGTCACTATCCTGCAAAACTCACGGAGTCCACCTCGTTTCAAAATGACTTCACAGAAAACTTCTTCTTAACAAGAAACCAATGGGAAGAAATGACATGGAAGAAATATGGTCAACAAGTCTGGCACTTAAACATCATCCCCTCGCCATCTTCCCATCTCACAGACGACTATTACTGGTAAAATATGAAATCTGACACATTGACAGGGTTGGTTTTTTTTTTAAGCCTGTGTCCTGGCCGTTACAGGGCTGAGACAGCAAGTCACATTTTGCTGAATTATCTCCAGGACTTAACTTGTCATGTAATTCCAAACTGCTTTCAATTAGCCCTGCAACCTGATGTCTCTTGATGCAAACAATTCCCACAGTCTTTAACAGAGAAACTTTCTCATCTTCAGGAGGGCTCCAGGAACAAGCCGCTGAGGAAGCAGATTGCCTACACTTTCCTTACACAAATTTATCCTCTTCATATCAAAAGGGCGTATCATCAGGGCAACAACCTACTTCCTGGACATCTTGTTAGGTGGGAAAAAAAGAGGAGGCCTTGGATTCTCATCAGTGTGAATATTACTACCTATCTTCTACTTCCACATGTACCATACAGTCGTCTGTGCTAGAAATACTCTTAAAAATTAAATGTATTAAAATCAAAATTGAAATCTAACCGTATTTGTAGCTGACACCCTGGCTGCAGGTGCACAAGCCCATAATGGAAGACAGTTTTGTGCTCCACTGCATTAATTCCCAGCCAATGGGGATGAATGGGCAAGGGCATTCAGTGAGAATCCTTGAAGTCCTGGTTCTCCACTCATCAAAATCAGGCACCTAACTGGAGTGAGCTGTGTCTTCCTTCTGGCACGTGAACCTGGATTTTGCACACATGGTGAGGAAGAGTGGTGGCTGAAGATGTACATGCTGTATGTCCAGGTTTCATCTCGCTGGGGGGTCACAGGAAATGATTCCAGGAGATTCTTCAGTCTTTCTAGCTGCCTCTCTCACTAGCTGGACTCGTTGCTTCCTTGATGGATAATCAAATCTGTTCCTTTTGGGTTTACTGCTTGATCAGCAACTTATGCTGTGTGCAAGAAGGGAAGTGGACCTGGAAAGAAGGGTCACCATATAAAAGAGGACAAGGAGGCAAAGGTGGTTATGAGGCTTGACAAAAGGACACACCATGTTTTTCATGAAAGGAAGACATAGTTGCAATGGTCAGCTTGGAAGAGGCAAAATGGAAAAGGACTTAGGGATGCTTGGAGTGGCCAAGGAAAGATGTTCAGAAATCTTGCTTTCATGTAACAGTGCAACACCCCTCCTGCTTGGAGAGAACGGCTTTTTCTGCCAATCATATTTTGCAGTCAGCCACATTGTCCCATTCCCTCAGCACAGTCCCCAGACTACCAGTCCAGAGGAGGCTGAACTGCTCCTGGTAGCAACTCCAGTATCAGCCAAACCTAGGAAGGGCATGCATGACAGAGGTTAACAAAGAGGTAGGCATAGCTTCTTATTTGACACAGAGAACATAGGTCCTCACAAGCCCTTGTTTTAAAACTGTGGGATATTAAATCATTCAGATGTCAAAATGAATTTAAGCTTTTTAATTTTTTTTTTAAATTTTAACTGAAGTCTAATAAATGAGTCACAGTTTTTTGCGCTTTCAGAACAGGGCAGTCAGTCTGCACAGTCAAATTTTATCGCATTGCGGGATAGGAACTGATAGCACAACTTTTTCTGAATAGGCCAGCTGGCTGCCCCTTCATCTGATGCTCTGTTTAACCAAACATTTCAACCTTTGGATAAACTTTAGCCTGAGTACATCAAATACAACTAGAAGGAAGCATCTTTCCTGAAGTTGGCCAGCAATGAAAGTGCTTACAACACATGCAAGGCTTTCCAACAAGTAAGCACAACACCTTCATACAAACAGACTTGCAAGTTATTATGGCAAAAGCTTTTGAGCGCAATGACAAAAGAATCTTGCTCCAGAGAAGCAACGCAAACAATTTTTCTTGTATATATCTGAATATCCAAGATATCAACATAGAACTTTGTGAACCCATCCTTGTGCTACAAGAAAATGTGCCAAAGAAAAAAGAAACAAGAGAACTTTAGGGGAAACAGAGAGGAACCCTCATGGAAAGGGCAAGAGCAAGCTGAGCTCTTCTCAACTACCTACATCATTATATTCCATAGCTAGGACTAAAAGAGAAAAAACAAACCACAGGAACTCATTCACACAAATGGTCAAGCTTTGCCTGTATATCACTACTGTTTTTCATATGAAAAGAGCTAATAAAGAGATTAGAGGATACGTCAGGCAAAACTGGATGAAGAAAGTACATGAAGAAATTCTAGTTTGCCCCATATCATTACCACAGCTTTGGCAAAAAATTAGTAATAAATAATTGCTTAGGAGGCATGCTTTCTTATTCTTCTGAAGGACAGAACTAGTATAATAACAAAGTTGTTAAAACCTCTGCACGGGACAATTGCTTGTGCACATGTTAGTCTTGTTCAAACTTTGGAAAGAAAATACTGAAAAGGAAGTCTGCTTTAACATACAAACCTATCAGTTCCAAACTATAGCATATTACCTGAATGAGCTTCTTATTTTGCTGGGTTTCATATTTATGTATGTCTATTTACACTGCTAATCTGCCTGTATAATTACTTGATTCAAAGCATGCTTACGGTACTCACACACATAAATTAGGCACACATGTGCTTTTGCAGCCAAAGCATCTAAAAATTATCACAACCATTACAGTCACAGCGAATCTGCTGCCAGTGATGTTCAAATTCCAGCTGGGATAATCTCATTCTTGCTATCCAAAATTTCATACTGTATATTTAAAAGGAAAATATATTCTTTCTGTCTGTAAATACAGAGCAGCTGCTCTCTATCTCAGAGGATGCCTGAATTTCAAGGGGGGAGGGTGAGGGATCCCTATACGTTAAGTATACATTACAGAGTGCGTGGCAGTACTTTTCTCTACAAGACACTCTCCGTTTTACTTTTTCTGCAGAGCAAGCAAGGAAACCCTCCCCCTGCCCCGACAGTAATTTATTAAGGGTCCAGAAACATCTCTGAATTACAGTGCATTTTTTTCCCTGCAGTAAAATGGTTATCTCCTCAGATTTCATACATTGATAACATTTTCTACTGGACCATTAGAATGAAATGTAGAAGTCTCAGCTTCACAGTGCTGTTGATGCCAAGATAGTTGCATCCAGACAAGAAAAGATTAAATTTATTATTATCATTGCTATTATTATTCATTGCTGAACTACCACAAAGATGCACAGTGCCTTATAAATCCAGAGGGCCTCAGGACCTAGGGCTCATTCCCACTGCTGTTGACTTCTCTCCAGCTCTATAGGTTTTGTATCTCTTTCTTTTTGAGCAAACCATTGCTCAAAAGCAATGATTTAATAATATTGGTGGCTATCACTACAGCACTTACATGTTCAGTGATTATTGTCAAATGAAGAGACATGTTTGCCTTTGAAGCCCAAGACCCTTCTAAAGATGTATAAAACTGAAAACACTTTCTGTTCTTTTTTTCTTTCTTCACTTACTGTGAACCCTTGTTTCACACACAGACATTCACATACCTCACTATAGTTTAGTCATTATTCTGATCTCAAGGGTCATTAGTTGTATACATTTCTATGTCACTTGTCTATATGTACCAAGGCAATCTTTTCGCTAATAAACATTATCAACTTTCTGCCTATTTTTTTGTGTATTTTGCACAGGGGGAAAACCCCATAATATATATACACTATATTTATTAATTTCTTTTTTCCTGAATCACATCTATATTGGCAGAAGTCTTGGCTTTTCCCAAACACAGGCATTCTTATATCCCCATTCTTTTCACTTTCCTATTTTTTGTTTTGATTTGCTTTTTTTACCAGACATTCACAATTTCCTCCAATTTCACTTTTAAGTTGAATCCCATGGTGATTTTTTGGAAACACAAACAGCCATTCCAGCACTGCTCACCTGATTTCTGTCTCTGGCATTTGCGTAGCGGAATCGCTGGATGTAATAGAAGACCAGCCACGCCAGTGAGATGATCATCAGCACAATGAAGGAGATGGAGACGAACACCACAGAGGTCCGGCTGACGTACTTCTGCAAGTTGCGTGTCCCAATGGTTATGTACATCATCACAGTAATGTTCCTCTCCAGGAGGCTCACTATCTCTTTTCCTTTGGGTTCAGGAATCATTATTGCTACAACATCTTCTAGGCCTATCAGACAGGAGAGAGAGAAAAGAAACCTTAAGTAAAACAAGTGATTGCCATGTAATAAAATGACAAGAGGATGTGGCAAGGCCAAAAGGGAAAAAAAAAAAAAAAAAAAGGCAAAACAGTAACAAAAAGCTCCCCTTTCTCCTGCTGTTTTTTACCAAGAGGTAAGTCAGATGGATCTGGTGAAGGTTTTAACTGGAACCAGTTACACACTGTGTTTCTATAAACTAATCTCGGTGAGATACGTAAAATGTGTTTCATGGGTTGATACAAACACAGATTTCCAGCGCTACTGAGGCTTATCTAGACGGTATTGCTGTAAGTACTGCAGAAAGGGAGACATGCTGCAGCCAGCATCTTTCCATCCAACACTCCATATCCATTTATCATAGCCCATTTTGAAGGCTCACGAGTCTGTGAGAAGCCCCTCCGAACTCTGCATTCAGATCAGAAATACTTTCAATCACAGATCCCCACATGGTTTCATAGCCCGAAGGCGACGAAGCATCACTGCCCTTGCGTGGGGCTGGCAACAGAAGCCTGCAGGGACAAGAGCAGCTCAGCGCGTTCCCAGCTCACCCGCTACCCCATGCCGCCGGAGGCTCCCAACAGCCTGAGCCCACGCAGACGTTTGGGAGCCCCTGCTGGGAGCTGGACTTGCCAGCTGATGCAAGTTTGAAGTCAAGAGCACTGTTTTATTCCACAAAAAACGCTACTGCAGCCCAGATCAGCCCCCAACAGTTTGCAGCCCCAGAGGACACGAGTCAGCGCAGCCGAGGCAGCAAAGGGGTGTCCACTAATGGGATGGGGCAGGGACTTCCTACAGTCCTGTCAATCTTTCTGAAGCCACGACCCTGTGAAATGGGCCCTCCACCGATCTATCAAGTCTCGACTCTGCACCAGCTTTCCTTTCTGTACAGTGCTGTTTCATTTTACTTGCATCACGCGCTGCTGAAACTATTTTCCTTTCATAATTTTATGTCCCCTATGTACATGACAAACATAGTCTGAAATTATCTGGGATTGGGCAGCTTGTTGAATGCCTTTTCTGGCTTTATAAATAAACTATTGCTGCTTTATGGTTTAATATTAGGGATATTCTGTTCTTCCACTTCACAAAACAAGTATGTAGACAATTTTTACACCTAAGCTATGTTTTGCAATAGTCAAATCCTGAATTGTACTAAGTGGCTAAGGACAAATAGGATGTATTTTAATGTAGAAATGCGCTAGAAACAACAGCATATGAAATGATCACAAACCGGCATTTAGAAGGAAAGGTACAAACTGGGAGTGTCTGACGTCAGAGAGAGGATGCTGGGGTGGGGTTTCAGAATTTCAACTGAAATCCCAGGAGATCAGCCAGCATGTTGTTAACCCCACGGCTACCTGTATTTTGACTGTGGCAGGAGGACAAAGTGCTGCCTGCCTCGGGACACTCGTGGAGATGGGAAGGGATCGCTCGGCCACGAATGGAGACGTGAGAGCATGACTTGTGTTTCCAACAGCATCCCCCTCCAAGCTGATATCCAACCCGAGCTTCACTGGTGCAGCACTGTGCCCTCGTCCTCATGGTCCAGCTCAGACATTTCTCCACCGAAAACCCCTGGGAGGTATAAACCAGGTTTTCAAAGGTATTTAGGTGCTAAAGACCAGGAGGTGTCTAGCAGGATTTCGGATATACTAAAGCAGACAGGTGGGTGGCATTCAATGTAAAACACTAACCATGGTGGAAACTTTATCAAAATCTGCTGGGTGCCCGGATCAACCGGAGGTACTGAAATAGTTGCGACAGACTGTTGCTACTCACGCATGAAATCGCTGCAAAGCTGGGAACTGAACCCTCCTCTCTCAAGTCTTGGAGTAGAAGTGCAAACTGCACCACTCTTCCTCTCATGAGACTTTCCATCACAACTCTTTCCTGATTATGAACAGGCCAGTCAATGAATAAGGGGAAATCAATAGTTTGGCTGAGTCAAGAGTTTGAGATACCCATGATAGGAAGCTTAACCTTTCTGCTGATACTCTTCATAAAGCATTAATCATTTTCAGCTGTTTCCCTTTATTTGTCTAGTAAGAGCCCACCTTCAGCAGCCAAGATAAATCCACCTTTGCAACTCTTCTGATACCTGTTTATTACAAAAGGCTAATGCGAACATTACCCTAACAGCCTAGGGAGAATTTGCCAAATCTCAAAGTGGCTGAGAAGGGCACTGGTGCCATGCCAGTAATTTTCCTGCAGTCAATAAGACAAATTGTCTGGAGCAGTGCTTAGCTGTCCACATGCCTTCCTTTGTTCTCTTCCCTTTCTTTAAAGAAAATAAAAATTTTAAAATCACTCTACAAGAAAACCAGAGCAACCACCTCACACAAAGCCAAAAAGAACCCATAGTGAAAAACCCCACAGTCAAAAATACTGAAACGAATTTCATCAACTCCTCTCAAAAGCCACCATTCTGACTCACTCACTTGTCCAGCACGGACCTCTAACATCATCTTCAGTACAATCTGTGACACTGTATGAATGATGTTACCTGAAAGCCTATAAAAATGGGAGATACTGACAAAAACATTTTCAGTAGAAAATATAGGTTGTATCTTAACTGTTTAATTATCTTGAATCTTAAATTTTTTTAAAAACTTCAGCAACATGTTTAATTATGTTTAATTCCACTGAATATAGCTTAGTATATTTCTGGAGAACTGTAAATAATGGGCACAAGCCAGATATGACATGTTGCAAATAAAGAATCACGTTCAACTATGAAATTAATATTTTTGTAATAATAAAACAAGCACCCCATAATAATGTCCTATATTTCTTTAATAGTAAAGTAATGAAAAAGAGGGAGAAAAAATTTGTGATCTCCTGTATAAATTTAACCTCATTACTGTTTTTCATCACCTGCCCCTTCTGATTAAGCTACAGTGCAGCTTTCTGGCTTCAATTCACGGTGGAAACATAACTGGTTTGGAATAGGCATGCAGCCACAGGCCTCCCTTCTCTGCTCTCTCCTCCTTGCATCTCTCTGCCAGGATGGTCTACTGCCACCTTGGGCCTAGGGCCTTTTAAGATACTTTAAAAAACCAAGATACTAAGTAAATTGCCATGGATATACGCTAAGTAAAATTGCATTTAGAAATGCAAAGTAGAAGACACAGCTATTGCAAGAGGAAAGCCGCTGCTTAATATATTCAAATTTCAGGCTATCTGGTTATTTTCTTGGAAAACATTACCATTTGTAATGAAGCGCCCTTGGAAAAAAATAACCAAATCAGCAACAAATAATAATCAGGAATTTTTTTTAAAACATTTTATTGAGTTTATGATAATTTCTCCAAGGCACTAAAGGGAATGCTATTTGATCAATCAAGTCATTAAGCTAAGTTCTTAATCTCAAACATGCTCCGTATTGGGAAGAAAATGAAAAAAAGAAAGAGAAAGTAATTTATTTTCCTTTCCTCCCTTATACAATAAAATGTTTGTATTATCTCAGTTTCAGTATCTAATGAGACATGAGAAGCTCCAATGTACATGAAAACTATACCCATTAAAGAAGGGAGATAATGTAACGAGACATCAATGTTAGAGATGAATTTCTATGCCCAAGTACACATTTGTTCAACAGACTTCAAAAAAGAGAAAGTATCTGGTAATATGTACTGATGCTTCTCTGGTGAGTTAAATGCTAATGATGCCTTTCATTAAACATACCCACAATGGGAACTGCATTTTGTGGCACTCTTGTTACCTAACACATTTCTTTTCTTTTTCTGGCCAAGATTAATGCAGAGTTTGACATGAATTTTTAAGTAGCTGTCAAGATGAATCAGAGATTCATAAATCAAAAGTATTCAGGCTGCAGTGAATGGATTTTTTTTCTTCTTTTTTGGCTTAGGAAACATTTAACATATCAGCTCTCTCTCCTTACGAGCCAATAACAAAACAAGGTAGAACTTACAGGCATTTGGGATGATTTAAGTCACTTTAACTTGCTGAAGTGTATTCACCTAATCAAATATTTCTGGGTGGAGAAAATGTGCTGCCGGTCTTCAGGCAGCTATTCTGCTTCTGGGCTCTGCATCCCATGGCATTACGCAGGAGAGCCATCGGCACGGTTATCGGTGGGCGTTGGGCGGGCCCGGGCATTGCTGGCTCCAGCGGGGCCATGCTGGGGAGCTGTGGACAGGCTCAGCTTGTTTCCCAGTCACTGGGCCAAACGTGTAGCCCTGTGGCTAATCCATCGATGGCGCAACAGCCGCACCAAGCTGTGGCTACTTTGTTCACTTACAAAGAGTTGCTCTGGAATTAATAGGCCTTGATATACTGAATCCCCCAAGCACTGTACTTTCCTGGGTGGGTCTTCCTCACCCCAGCCTGCAGGAGAAGGAGTCCCATCTCCTAACGAACTGCTAACAGCAGGAGGAACCGCAGAGAGAGGGGAGATGGAGAGCGAGTCTGCAGCAGGTGCCAGCCGCCCTCCGACACCTACACGTGGCGGTGGACAACAGAGGCACTCGTGACGACGAAGCAGTGATGAGGTCAGAGAGTGTTTTCAACGGCAAGATGCGCACTTCGGAAAAAGACCTGGAAGACCCTCTCCAAACCTTCCTCCTCCACTATGGAAATACATTTCAGCTAGGATGCTTTTATGCAAAATTTCAAGCTTTTTCAAGTGTAACAATCTATTCACTGGTGACAGGGGAAAAGAAAGACTTCAGTTCTGTAACAATGGCTTTTGTAGAAGAAATGAACAGATTTTACAGCCAGAAGATGTACGTAAATTCTCCACCTTGGCCACAGGCTGTGCTGACAAACCTGTGATATTTCTTGATTCTGCTCTGGAGGCTTCAGGGGTGATACTGAAAGCGGTCCTCTGTTCTCCTAATTAGCAGTCAGGCCCAGCAGTGGCGGGCTGCAGCTTTAATGCTTTGTCAATTTTTGATGGAGGCTCTAAAAAGTGGTATGTTTCTGGCACATCTTGGAAGAGACGATTTAATTCTTCATGCTTGGCCACCGACAGAAGTCGGTTAGAGAAATAATTAATTGAATTATTTGAATAGAATTCCAATTTGGGAGGCATACAGAGTCTTTTCCAAGATATCCTATCAAGATGTAAATAAGGATGTCTCTCATGTTGTACATCAAAATCAAGTACTAAAGTATTTCCTTTTACAGATTTTGTAACTGAAAACTCAAACACTATTTTAGAGTTCAGAAATTGCCCTGATAAAACAGGCAGTTGTTCAGTCCTGCTCAGAGCCCAGGAATAGAAACCTCGCAGGAGGGTGCAAGAACCTAAGCAACTCTTCCTTCACTTCTTGAAGAAATAATTTCATTTTTAGGAATCAATTCCGGTAACTACCAGCTATTGGAAAAAAGCGAAACAGATGCAGATCTAAACAATTTGACAGCCTGCCCGTGCCCAGCTCTGGAGCACCCTCCCTGGGCTCAGCCGTGGTCTGTGGGTCCTGCCAGCCCCACGCAGCGTGAGCCAATTCGGCGGTGGTGCTTCCTGCGAGCTCAGCAGCGCTCGCTCCGCACAAGGACTTACTGTGCTGCCAACCATGCCAGCGCTTTCCTGCCGTAGCTCCTGCTGCCGCCTGCGTCTGTGTGAATGGATTTTACACTATGATCTGGATGATGTGTAACATTTTAAAGCAAATTTGGAGCAAAGCACAGACTTTTTTTTTTAAAGAATACTATTTTTTTTTTTTCCTCCAGAACAGCAGCTCAGCTGAAAAATTAGTACTGAAGAGAATGAAAAGGAACCCATGGTGATGGTGCTGTAGTCATGATTGTCTAAGCTATAACCAAGAATGGTCTGTCGGGCTATTAGCAGATACTACCTTTTGCTATAGACCTTGTTCTCTTTGAAAATAGTATTGCTTTATAGTCATGTTTGGTTTCTTTACAATTAAATTACATGGGAAATGGTATATAGGTTAATCAGATGGCATTTCAATTGAATTTTAATGCCATGTAAATTGTTCTAACATTTTCATAGTTGCAACAAGGGTTCCAAGTCTTTAAGATCATCCAATGAGAGTTCAATCTCAGTTCTTCTGTTCTGTTTGGTGCAATTATAAATTGACCAGAGTATCAGCCTTTACCTTTAAAAATAAACATAGGCTTAAATTACATTTTTGTGAACTCAAACATTACTTTTGGAAACCAAAGCAGTATTTTAGAAAAGCTGATTTCTGAGCTTCACGCCTTTCAGAGAAGCAGCAGCATAATATCATTTAAACAATGTCCTAGACTCTTACGTAGGCCAACTGGGAAGCATTACTGGTAAGAAATCAAACTGGGCAAAAGGATTGTTCCCTGCAGGAACACTCCTTTATGGGGCATTCACTGCATTGGGCTCAAATTGAAGTATCAGTAAATGAGACTATAGAAAAAATTGGCAAAGAGAAGAGCAATACATAGTAAGCAACAGTAATACATAGTCAATACATCATATATCATAGGTAAAATGACTACAAACTGTCATCTATCATCTCTTGCATAAACTGTCTCAATGCCAGAGGACTAGAAAGGACACCAATTTCTAATGAGGTTTCATAACAGATATAGGCAACTACAGAGCAGGTTGTCCAAAGTTATTCAGTGAGGTTCCTCACCAAAGGCTCTTAAGCAAAAAAAGTGGTTCTGAATAAAATAGGAAGGGCCTCATATGAGAAAATAAGGGGTTAAAAACCAGGATCTTGGTGTTCCGAAACAACAGAGAGCCACCAAGTACAAAAGACACTCAGGGACCACAAACTTCTGGAGACTGGGAGAGCAATTCTGGGGAGACAGGACTAAACGTTCACCCTGCGCTTATACTCTTCCCCAAGCAGCTGCTGTTTGCCGTTACAAGAAATGCAATGCTGGGACAGATGGACCTTTGGTCTCAAACTGTAGACTTGCTTTTACGTTAACTGGGAACTGAAAGTTGTATCTCCTCTGGAGAGAAGAAAGATTAAGTCAAGTCAATGCAGTGAAACAACAGGGCCAAAGTCAGAGGTCTGATTATGCCAAAAAGTCCCTCTCTGAGCCCGAGTGGGGAAACCATACCTGTTTCTGTGACCAGTAATGAACAAGAAAGGACTGGGGCTGCGACAGTTGGTGCCTCTTGCTTCTCAGAGCCCCAGTTAGGGCTTGACCCAAGGCAGAAGGGTGCATTTCCGATGTGGAGGCAGGAGGGTGGGTTGGTTGCTCAGAACTGTGCACCACATATGTGAGCATCAAGTGTTCAGCTGCCACCACAGGGGTATGAACACAGGTGCAAAGTGGAGGAAAGCAGTAGCAAGATGGGAGATGCACCTACCGGCCCAGAGAGCAAACTGTATCACCCCCAACGCTGAACATCACACCTGGGTCCTGCAGATGGGCCCGTCCACCTCTTTTCTCAGTGCCCGTCCCTGAAAGGTGTCACTGTCACCCAGCGCAAGGGATCGGTAAGGTTTTGGGGAAGGATTTCACCCTACAGTGAGGGAAGGCTGCAGAGTGGGATGCAGAAGTCGTTGCCTACCCACTCGTGGGGCGCACAGGCACTGCCTGTCCCTAGGTGCCCCCCACCCAGCAGCCCCACTCTGCCCTCGCACCCTGCTGGGTGGAGGAGAAGAGCTGCCAAGGAAAGCAGGACCGTGACCGTTCTCTGTCCCTGCTGCTAAAACTGAGACACACCAGGCAGGCAGAGCTAACCCCCGCTTCTAGGGCGCCCAGCCTGACAGCAAAAAAAATGCAGGGGAAGGCCAGAAGCAAAGACAGCATAGCAGCACGTAGCCCCGTTTTTGTGGATATCAACCTACTGAGGTTATCAGAACACGATTTTTCACCATATAGTCTTTTTTCTTTTTTACTCTAGAGCCCTTGCTTTGCAATGACGTAGATGCTTTCATCTCCCCACGCCCACATTTCCAATTTGTTTTCCTTCTCTGTTTAAAAGCAGAGATATTTCCTTCAACTTATCCTCTCCCTCATTTCCCGCTTCTCCTTGGCACTGTTAGCACTCGCTTTGGTCCTTTGCCCATCTTCCAAAACATTTAACTGTAAATCAGGTTTCCTTAAAAGGCAAATGCAGCAAGCATGGAGAGAGGAACGACACCTTTTCCCTATAAAAGAAGGAAACTCTTTTACGCAAACTTTTTTTCCTTAGACAACCTTATTGTCATGAAATGCTTTTCATTGCAGAAGCCCTAATATCTAGTAGGATAATTAAGTGACCTGTAAAGAAAAAAGACCTCCCGCTGTTAATGACTGGCTATAGTATTTAAGTAACGGATACAAAAGTTTTCTATTTGGTCCCGAAGTGAACAACAATAACCTCCAGCAGAGCTGCTCTTGGTTCATTTCTTTTGATAGTAAAACCAGGAGAGGCAAGGTGCTCCTGGCTGTGATCTTTCCTGTGAAAAGCAGTCTCAGCCACTGTTTATTACTGTTCAGGGACAAAGAAATTTCTGTTCATGTTTTTGTAATCAATGCTGATCTTGCCAAGGCTGTAAGAGCTCAGAATGTATTGGCTTCCTCTGATTTTATGCAGAGACTGCAGCAAAGGAAAAAGAAGCAAAAAGCTACAAAACTCACAAAACCAAATTCAGCATGATAGCTGCATTTTTCCTGGGCTTGGTTCCCACAGTGTCAGCTCATCAGTCTGCTGAACTAACCAATGCTAATGAACCAACGTGATACTACTTATTCACACTTAATTACAGAAAACGGGCGGTTCTCCGAGAGGTTTCCTCAGACCCCAACCCAATGCACAAATTTTCGAGACTCTGTTACCATAATCAGGATAGTACTTCATTATAACTGCTAATCATTTGTACTGAGGACGTCTCTAGAAATGTCCTTTGGTTTCTAAACAATATATACTGTTAATGGCATATACCACTTGTTATAAGTTCTCTGTTCTGGAATTTGCACTGCAATGCTTTATGATTTTTTCATGTACAAGGTGGCCAGACAGACTCCTTCATGCAGGCCTTACAGCTAGGATATGCTCCAGCTCATAGTAAAATATACTATGGGGATAATTTATTAGTAAAATACCTTTTCAGAGTTGTGGCAAAACACACCCACTGTTTAAAGCAGATGCTGCTTTGCTATCTTCAGTGGAATTATGCCAAAAGAAAATGTGTTTTAAATAGCATCTTACGTAGTCAGGGAAGAGTACAATGCAA